CCAAACAACCTTGGTTTACTGAAAGAAGTCCTTTGCATTTTCCATCATAATCTTATGGCTACCACCAGATCCCTGTTTATACACTCAGTCTTAAGCAATTATGTGAGTGTTAGCAGAGTATCTGAAATTACACACAGGATTTTTTTTAAAACAATCAATAATTCTTATATAAGCATATATTTGGCATAAATATTACTGTGACTATAAATCTGCACCTGCAAATTATTTATTAATTAAATGCACAAATAATATATCAACAAAAATAACCCCCCTGCCAGAGCAGGATCACCTGGAGTAGATCACACAGGAACAAGTCCAGGCAGCTTTGGAAAGTCTCCAGGGAAGGAGACCCCACCACCTCTCTGGACAGCCTGTTCAGTGCTCTGTCACCCTCACAGTGAAGAAGGGTTTCCTTATGTTCAGGTTGAACCTTCTGCTTTCCAGTTTATGGCCATTGTCCCTAGTCCTGTCACTGGACATCACTGAGAAGAGCCTGGCCCTGTCTTCCTGACACCCACCCTTTAGATATTGATAACAATTGATAAGATCCCCCTCAGCCTTTCCTCATATGGAAGGTGCTCCAGGCCCTTCATCATCTCAGTGTCCCTGTGCTGGACCCTCTCCAGGAGTTCCTTGTCCTTCTTGAACTGAGGAGCCCAGAACTGGACACAGCACTCTAGGTGAGGCCTCAGCAGCCCAGGGTAGAGGGGGAGGATAACTTCCCTCAACCTGCTGGCCATGTTCTTCTTAATGCATCCCAGGATGCCATTGGCATAGGTTGTGCAATAAAAGTCTAAGAAGACAGTTTTCAACTAAGAATGCCTACTTAAAAAGGATTTCAACAATCAACTATTGTAGAATACACCAAGATTAAGCAAAATCAGTTCTTTAACACCCAGCTGAAGGAGTAAGTAGCCATATTCATGTACCCTTCAAGCCTTTTGATTCCCACAGATAGAATTAAAAGTTACCTTGGAGGCCTCGACCTGGGGTAAAGTATTTTGTCTGCTCAAAGGCCCTCATCACAGCTGGTCCTTTCAGAAGATTGACAATTGAATCAACCTGTTGGGATCAAGGTTCAGTGAGAAAGGTTTATTAGAGCAACAATTAGAAAGTCTTTCTTTAAGAAATATGGATCACAAAAAAGCAGCTTTGGATTCTTTTTTACCTAATGGCTCTGGTTAAAGTAGCAAGCTAGGGAATGCTAGACTAAACCTAAAGACCTGTTTAACTGTCAGGTTTGAACTATTTACAGAAAACTGAAGGAGAATGAGTAAATACATACCATCCCAGTAAACAGTGGACAGCAAAAGTAAAAAGAAAAAGAAGTATTTGCTAAAGGCATCTTAGCTCAAACATGGACATTAGTATCAAAGCCAAGAAAAATAATCTCGTACTTGACCAAAAAGATGCTCCAAACAGCTATGGAGCTTGTCCTGTTTATCATGGGAGATTCGAACACTTATGGGAAGCTCATCGCCTGAAAAATATTTTAAAATGAAAAACTGTTTAGAAGTTTCAGCATATTTTCCAAAATCTTTGTATCTTAGATAACTATTTTGCACATAGACTGATGCTTAGGGTTACAGGATTATAGTAACTGTTCTCCCTACATAATTTGCATTTAGTAGACACCAAACACAGAAATAGCTCTTAGAGAAGGGATCATATTCAAAACCTAACTGGACATGGTCCTGGACAACCTGGTCCAGATAACCCTGCTCGAGCAGGGGATTAGACTGGATGACCTCAAGAAGTCCCCTCAAACATCAACCATTCTGTGACCAGAACACATGCTGCTTCTATGCTGGAGAACATCCTAAACACCAAAATAAATGGCTAAGTAGTGGGATATTAATATAACAGGCCACAAAGTCACTGAAATGCATCCACCATACATTTTTTATAGACACTCCACAGACAATTCACAATCTTAATGTTTTTTACCAATTAAATGGTTCTGAGATTTTAGTAGATCAACAAAAATACAGCATCCAACTCCTGTATTTGACATGAAGTTTTCATTAGTACATACCACATCTTTTCCTAAGAGAGTACAAAGAAGTACTCTCCTAGGTCCCTACCCTGAGTCACTCAGACAATGGGTGATGCAACCTGAACTCCTTCAAAAGCTGTGAGAAACTGAGCTTAAAACTGTTTTTCCTCCTTGCTGCTGCAATGACAGATAAGAAGTAGCCACCTGATAATTTATAATCCAAATTTATTCATGGTCAATCTAGACTCATTTTTCTTATGTCAGTGAAACACTTAAATAGCACCTTTCTCTCCTTGATTTTTCTTAGCTCCTTTAGATGTCCTTACCACCAGCAGTTATAACCCTTCACGGGATTTTAATTGCAACAGATGTAGCACAGTGCCAAAGAGGCCTGATCAAGAGTTAACCAGGTTAGCTTTGGAAATAGGAGAAAATTAAGTCATCAGGAGAGCGGGAGTTTCACTGAGCAGCAGTATTTATCAGCTCGAATACTGTATCTGCACTTGGCTGCTGGAGACATATTCTTTTAGGTGCCTCAGTTTGTACATCAACCTGCAGCTGCACAAGTGCATATCAGCTCAGTTGTATCTTCAGTTGAAGATACAGACCCTGGGTCTGCTGTTTTATTAGCAGTTCTTTATATTCTTCATTCTTCCCTCTGTATCTGCTCAGCTCTGTAAATATGTTTGATGTCTCGAAGGCAGCTGTCTAGAACTGCATTATTCACAAAGTATCTCACATACCTTGCATAATGTAGTTAATACTTTCCTGTCTCAACTGAAAATACCTCTCCTGGTATAACCAGTAATAAAATTTGCCTCCTCTATGGCCAAGTCTCACTGGTGGCTCATATTAAACTAATATGTCCAGTTCTTTCTTTTTCTAAATCATTCCCAAATGATAAACTCCCAGCTTAGTGCAAAATATTTTTCATTATTAGTCCCCGAGTATATGACCTTGTACTCCATGCAGTTAAATCCCATCTCATTCCTATTAGCAGCTGCATTTATTTAAATTCAATTTGTCACGGCATAAACAAGAATGTGCTTCTATGTGGTCTCACATTCCTTCCTACAAACATACACAGCCGTATCCTGTCGTCTGGGTGCCGACGGAGGCTGGGGGAGCATGCCACACTCACCTAAAATGATCCTCACTCTGTGCAACGTAACACTCTGTCGAGGTTCAAGGAATGAAAGAGGTTAAAAGCAGTGACTCTAAGAGCTCTAACTAATTCAGTCTGTTCACAGAGATGTTGGAATGTTAGCTCTGTCTCACATAAGGACTCTTAAGTGCAGCACTAGCTAGGCAAAAGCAGATGATACAGTCCTATTACCAAGGAGGATGCAGTTTTTAAAATAAAAACAACAAAACTGCCAGGCAAGTGAAAAGAACAAAACTGAGTAAGACGAACAGATGACAGATTCAGAGCCGACTTTTCTAAACATACCTGAATCCATTTCATCACTGTGAAAATAAGAACTGCACTGACTGCTACAAATGCTGGTGAATGAGGCAATGGAGTTCCTATTGCTGTTGCAATCACTGAAAAAAAAAAAAAGACACAAAACAAAAAAAAAGAAATAACGTCATGTCCTTTAACACAGACTCTGCAGCAAAGTTACAGAAATTCTTCACCTTTTCCTCTTTTAAACTTAATGATGAGATGGTCTGTATCATTCTTTAACAACAATAAAGATTCCTATGCTTAGGTTATCATATAATTTGCAATCCTGGTAGGACTCAGAAGAACAGACTCCCAAAATAGATGATTCAATTGTCTCCCTTCACCTTGCATGTCAGAAAGTACCTGCGGAATGACAATATACACTTTCAGTGCAAAACAACTAACTTTTATTACACAAGGGACAGTTTTTGAAACTGTGGATTCAAATGTTTTAGCAACTCCACATTTAAAGCCTGTACTCCTAATCCATAGCTAATACAAATGACAAAATACTCTGGTTTATGACTTGTGAAGTAGTCCATAATGGGTTTAGAAGAGATTTGTCCATTTGAGTAGCACCAAAACTCAGATTATAAACTATTTTCCCTGCCAGCCAAAATAGAGCTTATGATCCCATGTCTTCCAGCTGCCCATTTTGGTAAGAGACATGTAGACATTTACATCTGTGACTTCAGTGATAACTTCTATGCATACAAAATATCACCATATTGCTCTAGTAAGGAGATCTGGGGATGTATTTTTTTTCTACTCTTTTACCTCAAAAATAAATTGTTCTGTACAGAAAACAGAAAAGAGAACATACCTATCTGTGCAGCATAAACAGAGTAAAACATAGCCTTTTGTACTAAGAATCCTATGAAGATAAATTTGAATTCAGAGTCTTCAGAGTTATTGAGCCACATGAAAATAGTTTAGTTAGAAAATGCTTAAGTATTTATCCAGCAGAGGGAGTCTAAAAACCCAAACGATAATGTAGAATTGTTCCTAAAGGATATTTACATATAATGATCTGGGTTTGGTTTTATGATTTGTGTGTGCCCATTCACCAATATATACATATCTATATTTTATATACAATATCGCAGTTATACAGGTACCCATGTGCTCCCTACTTGTGTTATTTTTGTAAATACAGAAGTTATCTTTTACTTGTTTTGGCATTCCAACTTATGTTTCCTGGCTAATGTATATGTTTTGGACCTGCAGCCAACCAGGTAAGTAGATAGGGAAAATTTTTAAATCATAGAATAGAATCACAGAATTGTTTAGGTTGGAAAAGACCTTTACCACCATCAAGTCCAACCGTTAGCCTAACACTGCCAAATCCACCACCAAACCATGTCCCTAAGCACCTTGTCCACATCTCTTTCAAATCCCTCCAGGGATGGTGACACAATCACTTCCCTGGGCAGCCTGTTACAATGCCTGGCCACCCTTCTGATGAAGAAATTTTTCCCAATACCTAATCTAAACCTCCCCTGGCACAACTTAATGCCATTCCCTCTCATCCTATTACTTGCTACTTGGGAGAAGAGACCAACACCCATCTCCCTGCAACTTCCTTGCCTGTGGCTGTAGATTCTCTACACAAGGTCTCCCCTAAGAGTCCTCCAGGCTAAACAATCCCAGTTCTCTCAGCCGCTCCTCACACAACTTGTGCTCTACATCCTTTTCCAGCCTAGTTACCGTTCTCTGGACACACTCCAGCACCTCAGTGTCTTACTTGCAGTGAGGGGCCCAAAACTGAACACAGGATTCGAGGTGGGGGCCTCACCAGTGCCCAGTACAGGGAGACAATCACCTCCCTAGTCCAGTCCACTGTTCCTGATGCAGGCCAGGATGCCATTGGCCTTCTTGGTCACCTGGGCACACTGCTGGCTCATATTCAGCCAGCTGTCAACCAAAACACCCTTGCCCTTTTCTGCCAGGTAGCTTTCCAGACATTCATCCCCAAGGCTGTAGCATTGCAGGGGTTGTTGTGACCCAAGCACAGGACCCAGCCCTTGGCCTTATTGAACCTCATGTGACTGTCCTCAGCCCATCAATCCAGCCTGTGCAGATCCCTCTACAAAGACTTCTGACTGTCAAGCAGAACAGCACTCCTGCCCAATTGGCATCATTTGAAAATGTATTCAATCCCCTCACCAGATTGCTGGCAAAGACATTAATGAGAACTGGCCCCAGTATGGAGCCCTGGGGAACACCACTCGTGACTGGCCGCCAGCTGGATTTAACTCTCTTCACCACAACTCTTGGGGCCCGGCCATCCAGACAGTTTTTTTATCCAGTCAAGTGTACACCCACCCAAGCCATAAGCAGCCACTTTCTCCAGGAGAATGCTGTGGGAAACAGTGTCAAAGGCTTTACTAAACTCCAGGTAGACAATATCCTCAGCCTTTCCCTCATCCACTAAGCAGGTCCCCTTGTCACAGAAGGTGATCAGGTTAGTCAAGCAGGACCTGCCTTTCATAAACCCATGCTGACTGGGCCTGACCACCTGGGTGTCCTGTACATGCTGTGTGATGGAACTGAAGATGAACTGCTCCATAACCTTCCCTGGCACTGAGGTCAGGCTGACAGGTCTGTCTTTCCCCTGATCCTCCTTCCAGTCCTTCTTGTAGATGGGCATCACAGTTACTAACCTCTGGTCAACTGGGACCTCCCTGGTTAGCCAGGACTGCTGATAAATGATGAAAGTGGCTTGGTGAGCATTTCCACCAGCTTCCTCAGCACCCTTGGGTGGATCCCATCATGCCCCATAGACTTGTGGGTGTCAAAGTGGTGCAGCAGGTTGCTAAACATTTCCCCTTGGATTATGGGGGCTTCATTCTGCTCTCTGTCCGTGTCTTCCAGTTCAGGGGACTGGGTACTCTGCTCCTGCACCTTTAAGATTTCCTTTTGAAGGATGTCCAGCCTTCCTGGACTCCTTTGCTCTTCAGCACTGCTTCCCAAGGGACACTGTCAACCAGTTTCCTAAACAGGCCAAAGTCAGCCCTGCAGAAATCCAAGGTAGCTGTTCTGCTGACCTCCCCTCCTCCTTACTTCTCCAAGAATCAAAAATTCTTATTTCATGATTGCTACGCCCAAGACAGTCCCCAGCCATCACGTCACCCACAAGTCTGTCTCTGTTCACAAACAATAGGCCCAGTGGGCACCTTCCCTAGTTGGCTCACTCACCAGCTGTGTTAGGAAGCCATCTTCCACACACTCCAGAAATCTCTTAGACTGTGTCCTCTCCACTGTACTGCATTTCCAACAGATATCTGGTAAATTGAAGTCCTCCATGAGGACAAGTGCTAGGCATTGTGATACTTCTCCCAGCTCCTTAAAGAAAATTTAATCTATCTCTTGATCTTGGTTTGACGGTCTAGGACAGACTCCCACCATGATGTCTGCCTTGTTGGCCTTCCCCCTGATTCTAGCTCATAAATACTCAACCCTGTCATCATCATCATTAAGCTCTAGACAGTCAAAACACTCCCTAACCATAGAGGGCTAACCCAACCCCTCTCCTTCCTTGCCGATCCCTTACAAAGAGCTTATAGCCATCCATTGCATCACACCGGTTGTGTGAGTCATCCCACCATGTTTCTGTGATGGCAACTATATCCTAGTTTTCCCACCATGCAATGGCTTCCACCTCCTCCTGTTTGTTGCCCGTGATGCATGCACTGGTGTAGATGCACTTCAGTTGGGCTACTGATCCCGCCGCCTTCCTAGGGAGAGAAGCCCTAATTCCTACGTGACCATCCTCAGGCATTTCTGTCAATAACAGTTGTGTCTTTGCTGTCACATGGCTCTCCTGAGACGGCAGACCGAAGGACCTCATTAGCAATGAAGCAATATGATATAATTACAATCATAACCATTAAGTAGATAAAAAGACCTCAGTAACAACATGTTCCTAACAGAGAGTAAACAGTTCCAAGGAGTATTAAGAATTTCTGGCTGGATATTAAGAAATGTTTTTTAACTACTAAAGTCTCCAAAGGGAAGATGAAGGTTATTTAAAACTTGACTGTGCAAAGCAGGAGAAAATAAACCGCAGGAAAATGAGAAACAGATTAGCTGTATTAGCTTTATCATTCTGCATTTTTACTGTGTTGTATTGTAAGGTTTAGAATGAGACCCTACAGCAGAAAACGAGAGCATTCTAACAGCTGAAATCAGCCTACTAGTTCTAATCATAACATCAATGGCACTATAGGATCTGATGATTTTAAGTAGTGTGTAATGTCATTATTTAAGCAAAGAAACAAAAAAATCCAATCTCACTCCAAGCATTGTTATAGACTCACATATTTTATGACTATTCTGCATATGAAACTCCAGTTTTTATAATTCTCAAACAGCCGAAATGGACTATTAATTACTAGAATCAGAATAAAGCAAATACTTTAAATGAAAAAACTCTCATGTCCTAAGCCACACCTTCTTTATCCACATACAAATCTTGTGCCTGCAGGAGAACTTCCCAACTGGAGCAAGCACAGGCCACTGGAGCAGCTCCCGCACAGTCAGTTTGATACATCATGGACATGCAAAAACCTCTAAATGCACTTCAGCTGGAACAGCCCTTTGCTTGTGTGTCCACCATGGTTAGCACAAGATGGACTTAATCTGTGCAAATTATGTCTACACTTATTTCTGTTTCTAGTCTGATAAAGAGCCCCCGTGTCTACCACGCTGCAGTAATCAAATATTAGCTTATGAAAGAGATCTCAGCAACACACGGTTCTGTAGAAACCAATGACCCTACTGAGATTCTACTTTCTGAGCATAATAATGAACAAATAATGAACCCTTATTTTACTTGCAGCTAAAATTTTAATTTAGATTTTATGTCGTGTAGTTAACCAATTCTCGCTAAGTGATAGAAGATAATTTTGGTAAGACCTATGCTGGCTACAGTTACTCCTTCCTTTTCAAAAATCTTCGTAATTTCATTCACAGTAACTGTGATGCATTATGAATTCTAGAGATGATGCTACAATATTCCGAGTGGAAGAAGGTGAGGAATGTATGTTAAGAATTTTTTTTAGATCAGGAAAAGTGGGTGCTCTGGCATCTTTCTTTCCATGGCAGATATTTGGGCTTTTTATTAGGGGACATAATAAGTGAAATTATTTCTGGTTTTTTATAAGACAGGCAATCTAAGGTAAAGCTTTACAGTTCTGGCTGCGATATCCTACAAATGTTAGCAATAACAAGTTCTAATAAGTAATCTGTACTCATAAAAGAGTTTATTTTACACATCTTGTAACATATCTTGATGGTAGTTATTGCTCTGATAGAAATGTCAGAATCATCATATTCTGATACACAGCCACATGACAGCCTACAAACCCATAGGTTTGATTTAGTGGACAAAAAAATCGAATTGAAATTACCTGTAAGAATCCCTGTTGCTGATGGTATCATGACCAGAATCTTCCTGTTCTTCACCTGTCACACTGAAACAGACTTTCTTCCCATTCCTTTCCCCCTTTTCATTATCACTGTCTGCTGGTATTAAAGGCTCAGGTGTTTTACGTTCTGATTTGGGAGAATATGTTATTGAAGACAGAAGGCTGTGAGACAAGGGAGAAAAAAAAAGAAAGATAAATTCATGTTTTCCAAAAGCAAGCTAACAGGATAACATTACTCATCAACGTTCTCCACTGTTATTCTACAATATGTGAAGGAAACATCTTAAATCAGACCACTGTTAACTACAGTATGTTAACTACGTATTTGAAGCAAAGTAATGAAGTTACACATTCTGCTGTTAAAAAGTGTAACAGTTAAACCCATTAGCATTACTAAATACTCATCTTCTATGAAGAAAATTATTCTGGCTGGGGAAGAAATACAGAACATTCTTCAACACTTGGGGTCAAATTTCATATTAACATAACTATTTTTAAACATGAACCATGTACTTCTCCACACAAATCAAGAAAACAAACCAACGAAACTGTATGTCTGTGACACGCATATACTTTCTCAATCACTACTGTACCAGACATGCCAGCCTGCATCACAAGCTATTTTACTAAAGCATTTTAAGAATCTTTAATGTGTCTGTGTACTTCCTGACATTCAAAGTGTCTAAGCCACTACCACTAGTAAAAGTGATGATTAATCCACAAGCTTCTGTGATGAGCACAAAAGTGACATCCAGTCAAGAAGACAGAACAGCGTGAACTGCTACATTTAGAACAAGTACTGGAAGCAAAAGATTCATATTCTCGGGTGATTAATTCATACAGAGATGTTCTAATTTACTTTAAGACCAGAACGGCTATAATGGGCAACCGTCCTTTAATTCCTATTACTCAAACACTCCACTAGAATGACGTTTTCCAACTAGTATTTGGATTTGCATGGAAGTGTTTTTCTTGAAAAAATTACCATCTAACTACCTGAAATCAGAAGACATGAAATTAAGCTTTTTTTGCTGTACTTAGACACAGTAGCAGGGTTTTATTGTAGGCACTGTCAGAATGGTCAGCTGGCAAACTTTCTACCAAATACATTAACAGGATTCAAGCCCATGTTAGATTATTATGTTACATATAATTCTTACTTCTGAAACTATGGGAGACGCCTATCTTTTCCAAAAAAAAATGCTGCCCTAACTGTTATTAAAGGGCAGCATTCAGAGTTCCTTCCTTACTCTTATTTCTCACCACACTTATTAGCATTGTTACATTACGCAAGGGGGGAATTCTGATTTTGAGTCATTTAGAGGTCCATCTTGATTTTGTGGGGCTCTGCCAGCTGAAGTAATCAATTCTGAATGCTAATAAAGTTAAGTTTGTTCAGCTGCAGTTACATCAGTGCTGAGCTATCAATTTCTCTACTCTTCTGACAAAGATATTATACCAGAAAACAATCTAATCCTAAACTGTTCTTGAAACTTTAGGTTTCTTTCTCAAGTGACTTTTAAGTAACTCAGAGCAGTAACTTTTTGCATACAGAACACAGTGTGTTTAACACCATGTTCAACTATAACACTTTTGAGTATAGGCAAATACTTTTCTGACTCTCAGGAATGGACAGTTTTAAGAAAGAAATTTAAAAAACACATACTTTAGAAACCCAGTAGGGTAATTATTCCTATAATGCTGTTTTGTTGACTGTACAGCAATGAATACATATATTAAATGGTATATCAAGCTTGGTCTCATTGAAATCACAGTCTGATAGATGTTAACATAGGTTTTGACATTAACTTTAGGGAAACAAGGATAGTACTAAAGCTTTTCAGAAAATCCTTTAATAATTTCTGCACAGCTTTCTCTGGCTAAGAGCTAACAAGAGATGGACATAGATATTTATGTTTATATTTATTATCTATTCAGGAAAAGGAACTGAACTCTAACCGAAATATAGGAAAACTATACAAAAGGTATAATTTTACTGGACTTTAAACCCACCCATCCACTAGACAGGCGTCTTTTGGATTACATGACACCTTAACACTGCATATCAGTATGAAATCCCAACTCAGTTCTTCCCTGTCACTTAAGACACCAGTTAGCAAGATTCCATGAGGACAGGAAGAAAGACGGGGCCCATATTTTACAACAGTGTTCAGTTTTGATCTACCTGCTAGAGCATACATGTTCTTGAACGTGTCCAAAAATAAATGTTATGAAAACGTAAACCTTTTCAAAATAAGTTCTTCTTACTTGTAAAACTTATTTTCTGAATATGAAAACATAAAAGGGGTTCAAAAAGGCATTAGGAAAACTCATGGCAGATCCTTCTAACAGTGCTCTTAAAAAAAAAGGTTCATTTCAAGAAGACCTTGTAGTACTGCTTACTGGAAGAGGACATAAGCACAAGGATTAACCTATAATTTTGCTTTTTCTTGTATTCCCATTACCATCCACTTCAAGGAAAACAAAAATGGGCTTTGAGCAGATCCATTCCAGTAACTTCTTGTGGATTTTGTTCTTGTAAGAAAATAATCAAAAGTAAGAAACACATATAAGGAACTACAACTTCAGCTCCTGAAAATCTCTTCCCCTGAGTAATTATTTGTCAAGATACCGACAGACTATTATATCCTCTACTTTTCTGTGACTGTTTAGTCACTGCTGCCAAGATCTCAGTAAAAGAATGATGAAGGTAGTTGGAGCTTTTCCTAAGGGAGCTTTTCACTTTGTCTCAGCAGGCAGGCTCTTTTCCTCAAGAAAAATTCTTTTGCTGAACTACCATGAATGAAAGCTGGAATTCTGGAAACAAGAGTTCTGGAGCTGGTAGTTCCTGAGGTCACTGGAGTGTTCTTAGAAACCCAATTCAGGGAGCCTAAAACTCACAAACCCAAGCCTGGACACAAAAAAACCCCAAAACTAATAATCATACTTAAGCGGAGTTTTGGGGTTTTTTTAAAGTTTGGGGTTTTGGTGGTTTTTTTTCTTTCTTCTTCTTAAACACAGCACATGCACATTGTATTTTCTTTGGAGATGGGTCTACCCCAAACAAAATTAGCTTAGATGTCTATCTCTCATAGCAGAAATATGTGAATGAATAGTAACTAACAGCTAGAATGTCTCTGCAACTATGAATAAAATTTCCATGAAACAGAGAAATGGAAATCTTGACCAAAAAAATCTTCACATGTGGAATTAATCCTATATGCAACCCAAATCAACACAATCCTAGAAGTATGTCACAAACAAACAAAACCTGCTATGGTCGGTCAAAGCATTAAAAATGTATAGCCACAGGCAGTAAGAAAAATCCTATGTAACCTGTGAGGTGCTTTGACTTTTGCTCACTTCACAGAGGCTCGGAAAATGTCCAAGCCTCTTGTATACTCCCAACAGACATCTTTACAAAAAACAGCTGGGATTATGGAAGCACACTGAGTGCATGTGAAGACAGCAGAGTCTCCATACAGAAAACAACTTTAAGAAGGATGTATTTCTGTATAACACCTAGCATCAGTGGTGGGTATCTGTCAATGGTACTAAAGAAATACTGGGACACTATTAAACTGACTGAATGAGGAGCCAGTGGAACTTTGAGAGGCTGTGGAAAGGGAGTATTTGTCTTTTCCCTCTTGATCAGTACTGTACTTCTTATGCAACCTGATCTCACCAATGGGACACAACAAGTTATCATCAATATAATGCTAGAAGAACACAACCTTCTCTTAGACATTCCTTTCTGGTAATCCACAAGCTCTCACAGACCTGCTTTTCAGCCCTTGTTTCTCAGTTCACTTTCATTCACTAACAGATAGGAGAGGTTGGGTAGATAATACTGCCCCAAGATTTTGGGAGTTGAGAGAGACACCGTTACTGATCCCAACACAGAGCAGAGACATCTAGTAACATGAAAGAGAACAGTTTTTCAACAATACTCTCATAAGGGGTACCAAAGTGTCATTTAGTAACCCAATTTTTCTATCATTCAATATCATATAAATTTAGAATTCTGATACCGTGTTTGTATTTTCAGTCCTGAAAAAACTGTAATAATGAGAATTGCTTATAATAATAAGCAATTCAGTAGAGACATCAATTTTATTGTTGCTATGTTGTAACAGAAAACAAGTTCTACAGTCCTTAGAAAGTTCAAGGATTGATATGTTCAAGCATTTCCTCCTAGCTGCTGAAGCATGAATATTTCTAATTAAAGCACAGATGTTTGATTACCCTATCTTATTACGCTTTTTTTTTTTTGTTTCTCAGTAGTCCTCACTTTTCTCTCGAGTTAATTAGTAGCTATAACTATGTTCTAATATAATACACTATGTACTGCTGAACTTCTCACACTCAGATAGCCCTGGCTTTCCTCTTCCCTGTTCAGTAATTTTAAGTAGGTCCCTTGGCTATCCTGTTTCCTGCACAGAACCACTTTCCTGCGCAGTAATTACACACTGGCAGTCCACTTAAAGTCCATGAGATATAAAGCATGAAAAGTCTCAGTCTTACAAACAGCAAAAGGTAAAATTTGCCAAGTAAATCTGTGCACCTTATGCGAGATCTACTGCAATCAGTGTACGGGATATTTATGAAAGAAAAAAGTGAACCCTCGTGTTTACTGCCACAATTGTGTGACCCTCAAAATAACTGTATCTCTATATACCTCTACACACTATGCGTGTGTGTGTATATATATATATATATATATCTCTGTGCATGTTTATATATATATGTGTATGAAAGGAAGGCTCAGAAGTTCCTGTGCTTGGGCATCACAGGCTGAAGGGAGTGGAAAGGAAAGGAAAGGCGTGGCAGGCTGCTAACTGGAACTTCCTGACGTACTGACTGAACTTCCATATATAATGTTCTGACTTCCTTGAGGAAGAGTGACAATGCAGGCTTTAGACAGTCATTTGTAAGCGCACCCAAGCACTAAAATTATCTTAAATTTAATTAAGTGACCTCATCTGCAGCATGATAGCTGGCAGAACTACATAAACGCACAGAAAACAATGTTTTCTTTAAAAAAATTGAGGCCATTCATACATTCATTCCTATTGTACAGGAACAAAATATAGTATTGCCTACAATTAAAATCTTTCTCATTTCAGTTCTATGTGAAGTCATCACTGATCCTACACTACACAAAAAGAATACTCAGATTTATCGGTATCTTCAATAGAAAAATTAAAGGCAAGTCCAGATGGTAAAATTTACTTACTCGTCTATTTGACAGACACATGTTTCCACCTCTTTCAGTGCAGCCTGTAATTTGAACAGTAACTTTTGATAGACATCTTGAGTTTCTAAATCTTCTTCTTTTAAGAGGTACCTCAGCCCATGGCCCTCTTGCTGGCCAAGAGACTGTCCTGACGGGGCAGCCATAGTAGTAATAGTATGTTGGACATAAATCATTGGATTCAATTTACCTGGGAATAATCCAAAAAGGTTACATCATTATCTTTTTTCAATGTATATTATGAAGTTAGTAAAATACCTAATATTTTCCTGCTTACAATTAATGTAGTTATTTAATTTTTGCCTTTTTTTGTATACCAAAGGCAAGCTGTTTAAGGAAAAAGTTATTTCAAAATTATGACTAGCCTTTATTATGCTTTAAAGTAAACATAAGTATTGAAAATAGAGGGAATTCATAAAGTTTCATCCTTAATTTTAATATTTGCAACACAAACCTAAACCAGTTACCTTTTAAGAATCTATATCAGAAACACTGGAAGTAGTTCTTTCAAGCTCAACTGACCTACCTTGATCAGTGTTTTTATTTTCCTTTTCATGGGAAGAATGTTTTCTGCTGTCTAACTGTACACCAAAGGCACTCCCAAGGGACGTTGAGGTTTTAGGGTAGGACACTTCCATCACATTGATGTGGCAATTGGTTGGACAGAAATCACTGCTGTGAAGTGGTGATATCTTTGACTTTGCTTGTTTGAAGGTAGGCCAAGCTCTGTTTTTTAATACTCTTGAAAACTAGAAGTGAGAAAAAAACACAGAATTTTGATTAACAGCTCTTGATGTGTCAGCACTTGGCTGACAAAACTTGTGTACCTGACTAGAAAACAAAAGTTTAAAATATTTCAGGCAGCCTTGACTTCAGATGCCTTGACTTCAAAATGTCCATCTTTCTCTACAAGGGAAAGGAAAATATTTTTTATTTTACATTTTTGAGGGGCTGGTTTTTGAAGTAAATTATGTTTATAATGTAAATAGCTTTGCAACAAGGAGATAGAATTTATTTTCCTTGTAAAATAATAAAATATTGTGTCTTCTTGGGGAGAAAGTCCAGAAGTGCTCTATGATCTGGTATTGTGGTGCACACAACATTTATAAACACCTGATGACATAGATGTTTTCAAGTCAATGTCTTGTAAAAATTTCTGAAATTATGCAATTCTGAAGTTATGAATTTCATACTGAGCAAGGATGAAGCCCTCCCTAATGGTTTCCTGCGCTGTATGAGGAGAAGCAATGCCAGCAGGTGGAGGGAGGTTATCCTGCCCCTCTCCTCAGAACAGGTGAGGCCACACCTGGAGTGCTGGGTCCAGTTCTGGGTTCCCCAGTGTAAGAGAGTCATGGGCACACTAGAGAGAGTCTAGCTAAGGTCCACTAAGATGCTTAAGAGTCTGGAGCATCTCTCCTAGGTGGAAAGGCTGAGACAGCTGGGACTGCTCAGCCTGGAGAAGAGAAGGCTCAGGGGTTCTCATCGATGTATATAAACACCTGAAGGGAGGGTGTAACAAGGACAGATCCAGGCTCTTTCCAGTGATGCCCACTGACAGGACAAGAGGCAATGGGCACAAACTGAAACACAGGAGGGTTCCCTCTGAATGAAACACATTTTCACTGTGAGGGTGACTAAGCACTTGCACAGGTTGACCAGAGAGGTTGTTGGATCTCCCTCCTTGGAGATATTCAAAAGCCACCTGGGCTTGGTCCTAGGCAACTATCTATAGGTAGCTCTGCTTGAGCGGGAGGGTTGGCCAAGACCTCCAGAGGTCCCTTCCAAGCTCAACCATTCTGTGATTTTGAGTGACTCCGGGAAGTTAATTCTAATACTTAGCCATATCTCCTTCACTGTAACACCTGAAATTTTGTGCACACTCTTGACCAGGCTTTGAGATATTTTTTAAGATGAGATGATGTCAACCCAAAATGGCTAAGACTGAATTGTAGCAAATTTGGACATTTAGAAACACCTACTGCAGAATCATAGAACTGATGAGATCAAGCTTTCCCACTGGAAAAGAGACTTGTCAATCACAAGTAGGATTTTTGTCAAAATATGTCCTTTCCAATGCAGGTTGTTATTAGAGGAGATTTTTTTCTGGAAAAGACATAATCAGTTCCATATCCCTGGTATTTTAATCACAGTATCTCTCTAGTCAAAACATTGCACAGATTTATCTCAGCTATGGAGCATAGCTCAGGCATAAGAATATTTTCAAAGTTGACTTGCACGGTTCCTTCCCTAATAAGTGACAGTACAAATTCAATCAGTCAAGTTTTGACTAACACCTTAGCTGAACAAAGGTATGTCCCTTCTGAGTAATAACAGGGTTTTGTGCTGGGATTTAAATTTCTGTTTATTTTGGTGTCATATTACTTTAGCCCGATAAACATTTGACGTACTAATTACATCTAAATCTTTATATCAGAACAAGATCTGGAAGGTTGCAAGAAAGCCAATTATGGAATCGTTCGAAGGCTGAAGAATGTACAAATAGTTAAGAAGGGCACTAAGGACATTCAACGATGAAAATGTTCCTGCAAGCAGTACATATTTCACATCTCAATCTCCCACACATCCTGCTCCAGAGAGACCAAATGCCTGGCTACGATTTAATCAGGTCATAAGTCAGGCCCCAGATTTTTTTTCATATATGTGTTGAGAAACATCTGGGACTCATGGCACTGGACTCGAGGTCTATTATGAGCAAAATGTTCTGATAATAATAATAGTAGGATCTGCAGAAATCTACAGGGTTTCTATTTATAGAATTTGAACTTTCACAGTGAAACCAGGAGCCAAGCCAGGCTCAGGCACTCCGAAAGTCTCCTGTAACTATGGTTACCTTTACCTTGCCAAGAAAACGACGTATCTATTCCTGAAATTCATTCCATTACTAATTGTCATTAAAAGCTGTAACTATGAAACTACTGATTTTTGAGCTGATGAGCTTGAAAGTGCAGTTTTTCTCAGCAATATCTGCTTCTAGACAGTATAAGCACTATGAAAACTTCCCTGAGGCTGTTTGTTTCATAGCCAGCATAACACAATAAAATTTCATTTACTGTCTTGGTCTCCTGTAAACAGACTATACATCATGCTCAAATTTTTTGGCTACCAGAAAGGTATAAACCACCTACATGTTACTCGAACTCTAAATAAACTATTATTAATGTTAAAAATAATGAATTTGTTTTCTAAAATAGATATTTTGATTTTTAATCAATTTTAATACATGGAAGTTTATAATTCAGGCAAAAAACAGAGAGATCAGATGTTTGGTAATGCAGTATCAGAATCCTTCTGATGATGTCTACTGTGACTCAACTCAGTTTAATCCATTTCTTGTCAGGGAGCACCCTGAAAAGTCTTTGGAAAGCCACTTTTTGTCATTCATCCTACTGAATCTACAGCTTTTCCTAGCAGTTTTCCCTCCTTTTCCTTTGAAAAACAGAAAAGATTACCTGTTCTTTCCCATGCAACTTTTAGAACTGTGTGACACTTCTACACTGAACCTTTTACCTTTTCATTTCTTTTCCAGTTTTTGCATAATAACTCTTAAAACAGCCAGTCTGTAAAGGTCACAACTCAGATCCCCAGATGAGAGAAGACAGGGAAGAGCCAGTTCTATGTGGCCATTTTGTGCCTACTTCAAACCAGCTCCAAACTCCCAACCATTAGGGACAGGAACCAGAAGCCAGGATGAGAAAGGAAGTTTGCATTAACAAATTGGCAAATAGTTGATTCATTTATGCCCCGCTTAGCTAAACAATTATAGAGACAACACTGACAACAAGTAGAGGTCATACTCCAGGTTAACTATTCATTCGAATCTAATTAATTTAGGTCTCAAGTGTATGAAAGACAGAACCTTCTACTTTTTTCCGTGCTATAATGTTTTATTAACCCCAGTTAATCTAACAATTTATGGAGCTGTTACTATTAATAGTCATGCTAGAACAAGTCATACCAATTTGAAGGGCATAAAAGATGAATAAAAGGGTAACAATTTGGTATTTAAAATTAAGCTGCATTAGAAGGAAAACAACAATTCTGCTGTTATTGCTTCATTTTTGGTTAACATCTGCAAATTCACTAGGGTATTGGTTTAAGGCATTTACAAGAATGCTGGGCCTTTTGTGGGAAATGCGCAGTTGATTGTATCTACGACTGAACACAGTCAACAAGAAAGGATACGATCTACTCAGGGTCTAAAAAAAGGGATAATAGAGAGCACAGTTTGAAACAATTTATGCAATTCTCAGTTTAGGCGTTCACGCCTGAAAACAGCTCAACTTCCAGCCATATTTTTGTTATTGCATTAGACATTTTGAAGAGTGATTCAAATTGTACCACATTCCCCAGTTTTTCCTTTAAAAGACAAATATCACCAAGCCTAGGACATGCGGGTCATACCTTTTTATAACTAGAGATTCTTCGGTAGATATGCTCAATTTTCTCACTGCAAATGACACTGAATTTACTTTGAAGCTCGGTGGGGATCACTTCATTTAAGGAATTGAGGCTGTTGCAATTCTGCACAAAATGTTCATCGCTTTTTGCCAGTGCCTCAAGAATCTAAGATAATAAAAACAAGAGCAGTACGTTATGTAATCAGATGAGTAAGATAACCCCTTACTTAACCCCTTACTTATCATCTCTTACAATTAAAGGTGAAAAGCCTGATAATCAGTTGCCTTTTAACATGACATAACAACAATTAATGACACTTGGGAAGCAAAGAGGTTTCTTTAACTCTATCCCCTGCATAAGCTATACCTATAATAAGTACTTTTATTTGGCTTCTCATGCCATTGCCTGATAATGGATTTACTACTAATTTCCTACTAATGTAACTGCTATGGCTCCTCTGAAATACATTATCTGCTGTATTTACTTGCATAGCATATATTATGCAAAGCTGATGAATTAATTCATTACTTTGGTCTGGCAGTATAAGTGATACTAACACATTTGAAAAGCATACAAGAAAACTCAGTGCTATCCTCTAGAATATTCCCCATATATGAACGGGCAATCAGGACCAGAATGAGCTATAATGTCCAGCAAAGACTGATGTCTTGCTGTGATGGAAGCAGCACCAGCAAATGAAGGTGATAGAAAACTCAGAAAAGTCATGTTGAAGAGACAAGAGTACTATATAGCCCTTTTTACATTTCAGGCATCGAAATTCAATGTGTTATGGAACTTGAGAGATGCCTATTGCTGGTTGGGTCCAGTTCTGAAGGCGTGTTTGAAAAAAACACGCACAATAACTTTCTAACAAAGGCACCCAAAATCCAGATTAAGCACCTAAATGCAAAAGGCTCATTTTTTAAAGATACTCAAAGAACTCTGGACAAACACCACACAGAGCATTAATCCATCATGGGACTTACGTCTCTAATTCATTTCTGCTGCAGTTCGTTCTTACACTATCCAGCACCACAGATTATATATGATCTGTAAGCCTGAGCAAGGCGTTTAGAAAAAAATGACAATGTACAGGAATTTTGGAGTGCAAATTCTCAAGTTTTTAAGAAGTCACAGACTAGATCCTGAGAGAATTTTTTTGACTCAAGGAAAGCTTTTAACTTATTTGCTACACTGTTTAATTACTGTATTAAAACATCCCAGACACTGTGGTCACACTTTTAAGTTTCCTTTATGTCAGGTGTAATTAATAATACAAATTTGAACATGTCAAGATTTTTTTTTTCAGGCGTACATTACAATAAACGCATTCAGAACCAGTAACTTTTGCAGCACAACTTTGGACACTTTCTCATTGCAATAATTAACACAGTAAAGATCTGCACAATATAGGAAAGCAATCCAGGATTACTTCAGTCCCTTACTATATATGATGCAGAATAGAGATGTTTGAAAACGCAAAGCAACAATAAACACACAGAAAAGAGAGAAAGAAGCATATGGAGAGAAGCGTAAGACCCCACTGACAGCACAGAGCAGTTTATGTTTAGAGTATTTAAAACCATTTGCAGACTGTTATATTTTATTAAGTGCCACTACAATTTTTTATTATTGCCTTTGAGTTAAGGCACGTGATTTTTCTACCAGTGGACCTTTTGTGGTCATTTACACCACTATCACTTATATAAAGTCTATATTAATCACATTACATCGCCTTATTGTTTTGTAATAATTTCTAAATATTTAATTAGCCAGACTAAACACTAAGGGTGATGACACTGCATTATTTAGGGCCAGAATCAGCGTGCTGGAAGTACTTCTTTACTTAACTACTCCATATGCAACAATGGGAAAATATTTCTTAAGCAATTAGGAAATAATACCTTATAGATCTTAAATGAAATTGTAATTACAGCAAGAATTGAAATCTTTCAGACCAATGCCTTCAAGCATTGACTAGACCCGCCCTAGCAAATCTCGTGATATTGGCACAAGCAGTTACCCCCGTCTGTCAACGTGACCTGCTCCAAAGTGGCCAGGGAAACAAAACACATGCCTGTGCCTCAGTCATTTCAGTTAAAGATCAGTACTGTAGTTTACACTTGTGATGGAAAGATCAACAGAAGAAGAAATTTTCAGGTATGAATACACTCTCCAAAAGTTTGGGCTTAAAAAGAAAAGAGAGTTTGGAATAAAACCAAACTTAGTAAAACAGCTGTATTACTACACTATTTGTCAATCTGACACAGACAATACCAGATATATATGACACATTTCACATCCCATTCACAGTGATCCCCGATTTTACCATTTGGACATATCCTCAAAATAAAAAATCCAAAGGAAATCCTGACGTTGTACTTGGGTTTTCTTCTTCCCCTGTGATTTTGCCAATGCGTGAGCCTGTGTAAGTACAGCTTTATTTTACTTTCAGTCACAGAGAAGACAGATGTTGAGCTGCTCCTTTTACTGAAACAAATTTTAAAAGTGGCACATGTAGTTCTGATGAGATTAAATAAATTTTGTGAACTACAGCCTACCTTCACCAAGTGTTGACATTTCAGTGAGTCTTAGACTTCCTTTCAAGTTTTATTTGATAATTAAGAAAAAAGGGAGAGAGGCAGGAGGATTGGAAGATTTTTAAGTTCTTTAACATTTTTTCAGTTTAGAGGCTCCATTTATAACCATACCATAACTTAGTTTGCTTCCTGAGTACACAATCATCCTCCAAATGTCATAGGGATAAAGGTGACCAATTATAAGATATTAAATGAAACGCATATAATTCTAAGAATAACAAAAGACAGATGTTGCTCCACTGGTCTTAAGCATTAATACATATAAACACTGCTTCATACCTTTGCAGTCAAGCTGAAAAATCCCTTTGGTTCAATCATTTTTTCTAACACATGGCACTTGATTCCAGCTGTGCTGTCATACTCATAAACCACCCCATACTCCAAATGAACGTTGTCAACAGTCAGACTCACATGATCTTTCTTCCCATCAATTATTGCCATAGTATTAAACTTGTCAATTACCTCTAGGATAAAAAAAATAAAAAATATATATAGCACAAATCAGTTGAGGAGGGCTGGCCACTAAACAAATGAAAAAGGAAATAGGCAAACATTCTAGAAACAGGTGTGCTCTGATCATTTCATTTCAAAACATTAGTCAAAAAATCCAGCCACCAGCTGAATGATTTAAAAATCAAAACACCAGTAGGTTTATGAATGCTAGAACAGTATACTGCTAGAGGCATGAATAGACAAGTCACAATAGTCTCGCTTTAAAAACAGTTACTGAAAGGGGCTAATTCAATTTAATTCCTAACCCAGAGACATAAAAAAGCAACAAAAAATGGAAAACTGAAAATAAACTACAAGAAAATGACCATGAAAAGTGTCAACATTTGGAAATGAAACCACAATATCGGCATTTTCCCAGAGAACACAAATACAGTTCACATGTTAACCAACTCTTTAATTACGATGATGCATATGAATCCGGCTTTATCTAAACGTTAATTACCTGAAAACAATCTGAAGGACAGCTGACCTGTTACTTCTCATGCAATAGTGACTAACACATCTAATTTAGTCTTAAATGACTACTAGTGGCAAAAATAAATCAGGTAATTCCTAGGATTATTGTATCCTATGAATAAAAATATAAGAGATTTCCCCTAAAGGGCTCAAAGAAGCTTTGTCTCAAAATGGAACATAAAATAGTTTTCACAGAACATCATGCTAAATTTACTTCTTTAGAACACATTAAAAAAGCAAATCTTCAGAAAAAAATGCATTTTACATGCTTGCAGTTTCCTATCTAACAAAGCCACTGCCTATATTTTCCTTGCTACTCTATCAATGTCCTGAGCAACAACAAAACCAAAATAAGCATCACATACCTTCCACTTTGCAGTCAAAGGCATCTCCTCCATCATCTCCAGAAGGCTTGGTGTTTGTTTTCTGAAGATCCTCCTGGGCACTTTCAATGCTGTTGTAAACCCACTGTATAGAATCTTGCTAAAAAATACAACAAAAAAAAAAGACAGCTAGCAAAAGCTTTGCAAGCACAATCAACAGCAACTTATTTCATTGCTCTCAAACACGGAATAGTTCCTTTAACTCCCTGATTATTATCAGTTTTATTGCCTTCTGAGCTCCAAGTTAAAATAATATTTTGAAAATTGCAGTTAATGTTGCCTTTGTCTAAAGCCATCTGAAGTACTTTGTCAATATATTTTTTTATTTCAGAGTATACTGTCACGAGACAGTGTGAAATCTGTGACAGCACGACATCCATCAGTTTCATGTCTCTGCCAAAAATAATTTAAGACATCTAAAATCAAACTGCAGATTGAAAAATATTAGAGACAAGAAATCGGGCGGGGGGGGGAGGGGGGGAAAGAAAACCAATTTATTCCTTGCTAAATCTGCTGTGCAACCACAAATCTGCTGGCAAATATTACGGAATACCAACGAAAGATATAGTATGTTCAGTTAATCTATCACCCATGTGTGTCACTGGCAAGAATAATCTACACTGCAGCCTTCATTACTTGTATTTGCTTTTATTACAGTTATTTTAATGGATGTTCTTTATTTTTCCCCCATATTAGCAAAACCCCCCAAAACAGACAGAAGCACAGGCCCCAAAAGTCCAGCATCTTATGTGACTGAGTGACACATGAGCTCAGGAATGGTGGCTTGGTCATACAGCCTATGAAGAAGCCACATGCACACCTCGCATCTTGTTCTTCCCCCTCACTGACTCAACCATATGCCCATCACATCCCTGTGGAAGGGCCTATCAAGTATGGCATCTCCAGACTACTCTTCCCTTCTCTCTACACTTCAAAAGAAGCTTGACAGTCAGTTAATCATTCCCTCTCCAACAGCTACAGCAGAATAAATGACACAATTATGACTAATCTGAATTCACAGACTTCAAAAAGAAGTTTGTAGAAAAAATTCCAAGTTAAGCAAGGATAGCAAAAGTTTAAGGTGAATGTTACAATTTTCACATGAAATGCCAAGCACATCAGATTATGCTTTGCTACTATACATATTCAGCTGCTGTATTTAACCTATTAACCATAGAAAACTAGATTTTTATATGAATATGGTACTATTTCCCTCTAGGTTTCCTAGATTCATCCATCTCTCACTTTTCACTCAATGGCACTGAAATATTTTAACAAGGAAGTTTAACTTTCAGAGCGCTCTGTTGATTGTTGGAAGACCCCCATGTGCAAGCTGATCAACAGAAACACTCCCAAAACCCACGCTTCTTTGTAGGCACACCTGAAAGCTTGCCCCTTAGTTATGGAGAATTACGGGTTTGCTTGGCAGCATTAAGACTGCCACGCCAACCTCTAACAGGAGATTTACATGATGTCAAAGGATTCTTTCATTATTTGAACTTAATATGGCCTAATAGAAGGACTAACTACTTAAACTGGAAGTCCTTCTTTCAAAAGTAAACACAGGATATAACGCGATGTGATCTGGAGCAGCATTCTCCAAAAGCAGTGAAGAGGCACAAACTGAGTGTAAATCTGTCACATCGTGATTAGTATCACTGCAGAGGAATCCTACATAATCCCAAGAAGTAAAATCTACTTTCAGTTTTCTTTATCCAGACAAGACAGAAAGAATATAAACACTGTCCAACAGGAATTACAGAGTTTTTCACACTGCAAGAATCTGAAATGAAACTTCACACTCTAGGCAAGCAGGAGGACAACTCACCCTGAGAAGTGGAATATACAGGAGATAGAAAAAGATCCTCTTACAATTATGCAATTGCCAACCACAGGAGAGACTGCAATATTCCTGTTAATTATCTGGAAGGTGACTATAGATTTCTCCTGGTTTGTAAGTACAGTGCAGTAGTCTTTCATTTAATTAAAAACTCAAATTTCTGAATAGGAAATGAAATTTTAGCTGTCTTGACACCAGTGGGAATACTGCCATTCAGTTCAGTCTAGACAGCTCTCCCCTAGCATTTGATAGCCCTACATCCTAACTTTTTCTTGTCAGTCTGGGGGATTTTAGTTTGCCATGATTTGCTGAATTATGAACAGCTACCTTCTTAGATTTAAATAAATATTTTGTATAGGAAAACCAGTTATGTACTCCAACATATTGCACAAGTGGAAAGAAAAAAAAAAAAAAAAGAGTAATTTTGCATGTCAAGACATTCGTGCCAGCCAACATTAATCGATCTTCTTTGGATGTCATTAATATCTATAGGAACTCTACACTTACACACAGAAAGAGCACAACTGCTATGAAGTGTTTTTTTTATTCTAGCCAGTTCTGCTACTAGTACACAAAGCACCCTCTCTCTTTACTAGAGTGCATCTTCCTTTAAAAAAAAGAGATGAGCTTGGTCCTGATATGCTCTGTAAAAACCTCAATTCTGTATTATATTTTAAACATAAAAATCCAGACAAACATTTTCATAAAGAATATATCTGTATGACATAGTTCTAACTAACTCTTACTTATAATTCTTATCTCATATCTATGCAGTAGGTGTGGGAGAAAGATCTCACTCTTGATTTTAATTGGATTTTTCTTCTCAATTAACATGCACTGGAAGAGTTTGTGAAGTTAATTAATGGCATTGGCTCACAGTTCATAAAAAATTTGCAGGGACTTGGAAAAATGACATTACAGAATCCAGCTGGTTTTGGTTTTGTTCCTTAAATTTGTGCCTTGGAAACCATAGATTTTCTCCTAAACTAACATAACAAAGATAACAAAATTGCATGCTTATATTAAATAAAAGGGAAATTCTGAGTCCTTGAATGTATGTTTATTCCCAAGATATGGGAACTGAATTCCCCATATATGGAATGCAATGGGAACAGAGACTTTTGTAGATGGAATACATACACCCTACTCTGTATGTGCTGAAGTGTTACAAGCTTCTGGAAGAAGGTCAGCTTTTTGCATTGCATTCTCCTGCTGCTGAGCAGGCCGTGTAAATCCCTCTCCATCATGACGAGAATATACTTCATAATGCTTTTTGCATAGAACTTCAGAAACACTTGAAATAACTCTTTAAAAATGACATATTAAAAAAGAATCTTCAGCTTTTACAGTTCAACTGGCTTCCCTTCACTTTTATTCACCACTCCTTTCCCCTCATCCCACTCCAACACAACAAGTATGTGGACAGAGATATACGCCATGCTGTTCACGTTGATCAAACATAAACTTGGAAGAAAATCTGCCAGGGTACCTGCATCGGCCGCCTGTACTTCCTGCACGCCGTGACATGAGCAATAACACTTGCATGAGTCTCTTTGCTGACGTTAATTCCATTCACCTTGATTATGCATTGGCCAGGGTGGAGACCTGCCGCAGCTGCCACCGTTCCTATAAAAAAACCCACATAATTGACATCGCTTCCCTAAACATCTCCTTTAAAGCTTACAGTCTAAAAGCCTCATTTTTCAATCAAAATCTGCTCTCACCAATTCTTATGTACTTCCCCTGATCACAGGGTGGTTCTGCAGTCAGCTGGACTCCAACAAAATGGAGTTCCCCAGCAGATGATTCCATAAAAAGAGACCAGACTATTTTTCTAATCATAAAACAAATACTGAAATATGAAAATATTGAAAATTTGTCTTAAAGAAAAGATTTTTAAAGGTTAAAAAGGCTGTAGCTTGAAACTCGCTAATTATACCTTAGACCACTTTTATTTGGAATTCTATTATATTCCCCAACTTGATGAGCTTCTTGTCTACTTCTGGGGTCTCTATTTTACACACAGAACAGAAGCTTTCTCAAAATTCATAAACAAGTGTCAGAGCATACTAGAGCTTCTTGTTAAACATTAAGCAAAATATTCAAATCCAAAGACCTTTCCATGGATCTAGATCTTATTTTAATCTTTTTGCGAATTCATTTACTAACTCAGAGTGCTTTAATCAAAACACCTAAAGATAATCAAGTAGGAGATCTCCACAATTTGAATTATTCTTGCGGAAAAAGCCCCCACAAAACACCAAACACTGAGCAACAGAAAATAGATGCATGGTTAGCTATTTATTTTCACAGTGGAATAACTACCTTGGGAAAATCTTCTACCCACAAAAATAGCAGCTGTCTCCACGTCTTTTCAGTGGGACTCGTCTACTACCAAAAGTCAGACTGCTGGAGTACGCCCTTAGTTCCAGCTACCTGAACATTCGCCTCCTTATGTCTCCATACTGCCACAAAGGTGCCAGGGAAATCAAAACCTATTGCCTAGAGACTGCAAGGCTGAGGTGCAGATGCTAACTACTACGAAAGAAAAGGCTAAACTGAATTCACAGGGCTGACAAGTAGAAAAGCCATGTCATGACTTTTCACAGCTGAGCTTATTTGACAAGAAAATAACTGAAAGAATATAAATAAACATTTAAATAGGCTATATTATTTATCTCTTAAAAAAAATTCTTCAAAAACCTCAAGGTCCCAATTCAGCAAAGTATTTAAGCATATGCTTAAAATCTTTCAGGTTTAGCAAACCACACAAGCAAGCACTTACATACTGTTGAGGCTAATTGAAATAAAGTACGTGGTTAATGAACAAGGATAGGCAGCTGAATTGAGATCCAGGTGCAGAAATAATTATCACATCAGCTCAACAGTCTGTAGCTTATTAGACTTTCTCTTGAAAATCTAATTTCTGGCACCACAGCCTACAAAAATAGTCATCGAGCTCTCTTCAAATCTGGCTGCTGTGCAGATCAGTTCATTTTAAATTCCTCAATTACAAAGGGAGGAGGGAAGGAAAGGACACAACTGCCCCACAACAGCTGAAAATACGGTGTTAGTTGGCTCTACCATTAACAACATGGAACAGTGACAAAGAATGCTTCAACATCTTTTATCACCAAGTGCACCAGTCAAGCACATACTGAGTTAGGGACAGCAGTGATTTGACAATCACACCACAAAACGGACAAAACAGTATTTAGAGGAAACATCTGCAATTGCTAAGACAAACTAGGTCACTAGCACCCTTGAAAAGATTTGTGAAAAGTGCATTTTCTCTAAAACGTTTTCAGAACACTGCAGAACCACATGGCCAGCAAACAAATTAACAGTTAGGAAGCAAGTGAAAATCTACCCAAAGCTTACAAAATAGAAGAACACAAAGTAATCTTATTTGGTTTTATTTAATATTGTTTGTTACTCTGGGGGTGGGGGCGGAAATCTAAGCTGAATCACTGGACCTAATTTTGATTTATCTCAGCCACGCAATACACAGACACTAAATGTATATTTACCACTAGCACTGACAGCATTAAAGGGCTTACCTCTCCCGACAGCATGGACAACTGATGGGCCAAAGCCCCGGATTTGGAAACCGAGTCCATCAGCAGAGTCAGGAATCTTCACTGTCCTGATACAAGCAAAGATTCAACGTGAACGTAGCAAAAGGTAGCATTTTGTTACTCAAGATAAAAGTGGACAGCAGTAAGTAGGCTACAAGGATGTAAGACGTCACGCTTTGATTCAATTCACAGATTCAGATTCAGCAATATTCTAGATATTTTGCACCACTGACATCAGAAATAAGAGCAAACTGAGATACCAAAAGCAATCAGAGGAAAGCAATACACAGGGAAATTCTATATGCCGATGATGACCAAAACACCACCACAGCTTTAATATTCCTCCCAAAGGGACTCTGATTTGGGTAAGCTGCCACAGCACACCAACACTGAAAGCCTTGGGAAGGCAGGCAGTATCTCAGCCAAGAGGACAGAGCCTGGGGACCACGGGTCAGATGAGCTGCAGAAGACTGCAGAGACTACATCCATACTACAATTTGTTATCATGTGACCGTCTGCTTGGCGAGTTTTACTGACTGAACACCTGTGCAAAGCACTGAGCTTTGTAAAGTAAGAATCGCCTACTGCTGTTCATATAACACTGTGCTGCGCTCCTGCTTAGTCGAAGCGCAACAGTAATAAACATACTGATCAACAGAAGTAACAAAAACACAGTTCTGAGAATCAAAATTCACATCTACTCCTTAAAATGAAGCCCTGAGCTCACCCAACATAAGCTACCCTATCCACATGGTATCAGCTGCAGTTCCAGAAAAAACAACACAGCTGCACTAGGCCTTACCAGAGTTAGTTAGGTCATGCATAGCAGTGCACTGATGCAACTTCGCAGCCTTTACTCCCAGAGCCAGCTCCGTTGTTATTTAAGGATCTTTGCCCTCAGCTCCATTTGCCAGTGCAAAAGCAAATTCACACTGATGCCGAAAAGTGATTTTAAAATATATGTGGACTGTAATAAACTTGATTTACAGGTAGTTTTGAATAATATCATTGCATCATTTCTTGTATTTTCATTATTTTCTGGTATACACGATGTTTAGCATTTGGGGGTAATTATCAGCAGAGGTGAGATCCAAAACCCACTGCAGTCTACAAATATCTTAAAAATATTAGAATATTCTTGAGATCAATAGATTTCCATTTGAAATATTTTCATAAGTATAGCATCATCTAGTGTATGTATGTATTAACTAAGGTGATACAATCTATATGGTTTCATTCTGAAAATGCTTTGTGAACATGCTAATGAGCTATTCAAAACCACCACTGGCAGTTTAGGATAAGAATTTAGGAGACAACTGTCTCTTCTGCCAACACAGCTGTGCTAGCAGCAGCTCCCAACAAAAAGCAGGCAGTGCTGACAAAATCTTCAACCCCTCTGAACTCATTCACTAGATCATCTCTGTGAACCTTGAAATTTGCCCACATTTTCACTGGTAAATTGTGCCAGAAACTAAACAAATATCCACATTAAAGAAAGGCCAAGACATGCCTTTTATGCTTGCTACAACACTATCATCTACTGATCTGGGCAGTTTTGTTGGTTTTGTTTGTTTAGGGGTCTTTTTTTGAATATCATTCCAGATTATCATCTTTATGCCATATTTCTTTCTCTGCTTTCTCCTCCGTTCCGGGTGCCACTGTATTTCTCAAGACAACTTTGCTTATTAACAAGAGAAATACGTCTCCATTGTGCTGTTGAACAAGAACTGCTTCCAAGGCACTCTGTGTGTAAAAGAGGGTCATCAAAATTACTCCTGACCACTGTTTCTTACCCTTCCTTTACTTTGGTATGTCTAAACCAGTAACGACTTCATTAATAAACCTAAGCTTGTTTACATACTTACTGAACCCAGACATCAGGGCTCACTTTGTATTTCTTTTACATAACAAAAATTGCACTCAGGTAGGAATGGACAAAACTGTGTACAGAAATGCATCTGTTACATAAAGATAGGGAGCTGTTTACTTGCTCCTGCTGTTTACACAACCAGCACACATGCTGAAGGGGCCCATTAGATCAGAGTCCAACTTCTGCCAAACCAGCAACTAATTCTCAGACAGAGGACTTTGTTTAATAAACACAGTGAGAGATAAGTGATCAAAAATGTCCATATAGTCAAGAAAAATTCATTTACACTTGCTGTTCCTGCATGTATTTAAAGTGGCAGAGCTGATGATCCAAAGCACTTGTGTTTTGCTTTTGCTGACTGACAAATGTAATAAAAACAAAGCAGATCAAATTGTTTGACTTTACAATTTAAGATTAGAATCATAGAATCCTAGAAATCATAGAATGGCTTGGATTGGAAGGGACTTTTCAAGGTCATCTAGTCCGACCCCCCTGCAATGAGCAGGGACATCTTCAACTAGACCAGGTTGCTCAGAGCCCCATGCAACCTGACCATGAATGTTTCCAGGGATGGGGCATCTACCACCTCTCTGGGCAACTATTCCAGTGCTTTACTAACCTCACTGTAAAAAATTTCTTCCTTACATCTAGTCTAAATCTACCCTCTTTTCATTTAAAGCTATTACCCCTTGTCCTGTTGCTACAGGCCCTGCTAAAGTTTGTCCCCATCTTTCTTTATAAGCCCCCTTCAGGTACTGGAAGGTGCTATAAGGTCTCCCCGGAGCCTTCTCTTCTCCAAGCTGAACAAGCCCAATTCTTGCAGCCTTTCATCATAGCAGAGGTGCTCCAGCCCTCTGATCATCTTCGTGGCCTCCTCTGGACCCGCTCCAACAAGTCCATGTCCTTCCCACGTTGAGGACCCCAGAGCTGGACGCAGAACTCCAGGTGGGGTCTCACGAGAGCCGAGCAAAGGGGCAGAATCACTCCCCCCTGCCTGGTGGTCATGCATTAGATACCGCGTTTCATACAGGTTTTCTGTAGTGCTGTCTGAAGTTCCACTGGTCTTTTAGAATTCACTTCAACTGCTGTTTGTAAAATTTCCCCCAAAAGGAATGACAACTTACTCCCGTGGTTTAGTGCTCACAAGAACCCGCAGGGGCTTTCTGCTGTTTAAACATGCTTTCAGGAAGCAATCCACTTCACTGAAGGGTCGCAGAAAAACCAGGTCACCGTTAATGGCAAAGATTTTTTTCCCAACTTCCAAGCCTGCCATCTAGAAAACAATAACAGTTGTGCATATGTTTGCCTTTTATAACCACTAACATTATATTTTCTTCTGCTGGCATGTAACCTCAATAGAAGCGACACACGCATTTCCTTTACATTCTTTCTGCCTCCTTCACATACCACCCACAAAGGCCTTACACTGCAAAATACTTCTAGAAGTGGTTATATTGATGTGAAGGGTAAAGTAAACACTCATTCTGAAGAGACCTAACTACAAGACCTTGTCTTAATCAAGATTTTATGACAGTATTCAAAAATGAGTTCATATTTGTAATAATTAACACAACAGCTTTCACTGAGCCAGTTTTTGGGTTTTTTTTTAAAATGACATTACCTAATTTGTCCATCCATCATTCTCCAAAAGGAACTAAAGCTTCTTTTCATAAGGAAAGACCCAATTTTATTAAGTGGTATTTATTAAGTTCCAAACTAAAACAATATCTTCAAACGTTTCATGGCCTTTGAGCCAAAGGAATGGCAAGCCAAATTGCAGATTGTTTTTAAACTCTGGTCTAACAAGAGAAGAACTGGTTACAGCTGGATGGCAGGAGTATACAGGGCAGCCTAGGGCATAGGCTTAACTTTGGCACCATCCGAGATCATGGCAGAACCTGACTGCTAGAAATCACCCTGGATACAGCTCTGTGGCTGTATTATATTATTGATTTGCTGTATCTATTTTTATCTTAAATTTTAATTCCACCATGAGATTTAGAACAGCTTGAAATCTAGGTCTAAATTTCCTCTCTCATGAAAGAGACTTGTTCTCTATCTTTACATGTACAGAGACTCCCATGCAGTTTATTAAAATATGAATTTACTCAAAGAGCATCTAAGGCAATACTAACAAACCAAAAGGCTGTAATTTATTCATCTAGATCCTCGAGTTTTAGACTTTATCCAAAGCCTGACATATCCTTTGTTATGAACTATATCAAGTGCAGCTTACATACTAGCTTTATACTCATTTCATATTCTACCAAAAATTGTTTGTTTCACTCTAGATTAATGTCATCACTTGAATATTATAAAATGTACAAAAATAGAATGATAACTCTTATATCACCACCCAAAATGGCAATTTACTGAGCAGAAAATGAGTGTTGATAATGGTCAGGTCAATATTTTAAACAAAATTAATTAAAAAAAAAGGGAAAAAATATTCATAACCACAGCTTTCTTGGAAATTTGTCATTGTTACCTTCTACTAATATAGATTTTCCTTCCTGATGTACAAAACCTACACCTGTGACTGAGTGAATAAAACAGGGAAGATAATTTATAATACTTGATACCTCAGCATTTGATCCTTTCTCCACCACTTTAATAATTGGCACCTTATTTTTATCTTCTAAACCAAAACCATAGGTGCCTTCATTAGATTTAATCTGAAAGATAAAATTGTTCAAAATATTGTTCAGAAAGGCAATAGGAGCTAAAGTATATCCCCGTTAAATAACACCACACAGTGCTAATATATTGTTGCTACAACCAACTTTTTTACTCATCAAAGCATAGAGTCATTGGGTTTCACTCACCAGTAATGACTTGGCTATGACATTCTCCACTACTTTCAGATCATGTTTCATGAGTCTGTGCTTCATATTTGACCCTTCCATTTCTTCATCCGCATAAAAACGGAACAGCAGTGGTTCATCTTTAAATTCACTTTTCTCTAACACTGTATGATACAAAACCACACATAATAATCCTTTTTTGCATCTGCACTTTTTAATGTCATGTTTTGTCATGCACCATAAAATAATGAACATGCATACACATATTAAATGCTAGCAAACTATTTTTGTGGGGGAATCTAGGGAAATCTTAGTTTTTAACATAAACAATGATTTTTACATGGATCCATTACAGATAGGTATCACTGAGCTCATTTTCAACTAAAACAACTGGATTCCACCAAGCTGAGCAAGACACAGTAGCCCAAAATGGCTTTAGTGATAATGTCAAGCACAAGGTTTTTTCCTAAGAAGGATTTAAAAAAACCTTTTTTGGAAAAGCTCTGCTGGACAGCTGCTGGAGATGCTCACCGCCAACTTCTGGCACTCTCTAGGTGGTGAAGCATGCCAGGTGCAGTATTAGAAATGGGTTTGGTGGGGATGCAGAAGCACCTAGCACAGCAGATGGATGCAGTTTGTATGTTTACAAGTCAAAGGAAAAAGACTGAACAGTGCCAGAGAGGAAGTTAATTCTCCCTCCTTTGCCACACAAGCTGATGAGAAAATGATTTCTTCCTCTTTTTATTTCAGTAAATGATCTGCTGCTTCAATCCTTTCACTGAAATCCTCCTTCTGATGGAATTAAATGTGACCTTGTTCACCTCATTTTTGGTACCGCACATATCTCTGCATTCCTCTCTCTTCCTTCTTTGTTCTCTGCTATCTTTATGATTTTCTCATTATTCTACAGTCCACTTTCTCCTACTGTCGCCACTTCACATTTTTGAAGTCATGCTTCTCCATATTTTATTCCTACCTCCCAAAAACGTCTCCTTTCTTTCCTACCTATTTCCTCAGTTTTTATCGTCTCATCTGTGCAAACATGTATTACCTGCTTAAGAAATTTCAAAGTATCTAATAAAACTTCCCCCCATAAATCATTCAGAGGATGAAGCCCTTAGTACGTGTTATAAAACTGACTGAAGATAATTTTCAGAGTATACAATAGCTATTTCTTTTTTCCCCTGAAGATTGTAGTATAGGTCTCTTCAGCGATACAGCGAAATAACTTCCTATCCCATCTGGAACACCTTTACCAGCACCTGCATTTCCTTCCTACTATGTAGATTCAAATGTAGTTTAATGCAGCATTAAACAAAAGGTAAGCGTAACTTGTACCAAATGAGTTTACTTACCATGGTGCATAAACCCATTATCGCAGAGAGCTACACCAAATATCATGGCTTCTTCCCTTGTCCGGCAATCCCCCTGTTAAACCACAGCACTTGTTTTTTAATATATTTTGATAGGGCAGCAAAATGGATCGTACGCACAACAGCATAACCTCACAGGCTCAGCAAGGGTTGTGGGTTATATCTATCACCGCCATCTTCACATATACATTTATAGCATACATATAAACCAGTATATGCACATAGATACTTAATGTCTCTTTGTAGTTACAAATAAATATGTAAACATTTTAGTAACACAGCATTCTCCATAAAAAAATGAACATAACACAATCTGAAAGCATTGAAGCTTTTAACTTTTATAAAACCGGTGCATGCTGACTGAGTGAACAGGACACCCTGTTCTTCTCCCCATTTCACTTACAATAAAACAGAAACAATGCCAGAAAATTGGTACTGACTTTTATCCATCTAGTTAGTAATTTAAGAGTTTTCAGAGCCTATCCATCTCATTTTAAGCCATGAACAATGTTACATGCTGAATCACAAAGCTAAGTCTCATTAAAACATGTAAAGTTCAACTGCAAATAAGGAAGATAAGCATGAAAGGGATGAACAGCATGGCTGACAGCTGATTTCTGTTACTTTACTAGTTTAAGAGGATTACACTTACACATGCTGTTCTAATAACCCTTACACAAAGCGTTTGCATGTTATTCTGCTTAATACATCGCTACCTTTCAAACTGGAAGCTGAATGCAAGAATTACATAAACCCAAAGGTATATACTTGCCTGGGCTATCAACCAGTCTATGAATTTGTTAGCCATGACTACGGATTTGTAGGTTCTCAAGTGATAATCTTTGTCCCTGTTCAAAGCAAACCAAAATTTAAAAATCAAACAAAAAACTCGAACAAGCCTAACAGAAAACACTTGCATTTTATAAAAAGAGTCACTACAAGCATGAATTGAGTGTTTTGTAATGGTTCAGTAGTTCCCTCTGGAGTAAAGCAAGTGAAACCTTTCCATGTAGACAGAAGGGAGGAGACTGACCATTCCTTCCTTGGGCAATAATGTCACTGGATCATAAAGGCAGTTGTCTCGTTACCGCTGAGACTCTCCAAGTGAGCTAATGGGAGTGTTAGTAAAGGAGTATATTAATATATACAGTAAGCATTTAAGCATATCCATCAGGACCTAAAAGGCCCTAAGAAGTCTGTAAAAAAAGGTCATATTGAATGAAGTCTGCAGTCACTTAATGATTCAGTTATGCTTTTTATCTTGATAGCCTTTCAATCTTGTTTGTTTACTCCCAAGAGACCAGTCTTGAAAAGAGGGGTTAGGTTCCTACATTGAAACACAGTATCTTCAGATTATATACTTCTTCCCGATAACTCTCTATAGATTTCCCAATTGGACTCACCTAATTACTGGGGTAAACAGACTGTGAAGGCGACAGTACAGCCGTACACCCTGATAAAGGGAAAGATGAGATTAGTTAACCACACGTTCCCACCATAGAGAACTAAGAGAAAGTGAGGCAGTAGGCAAGTCTGTATGTTCCAAATGCACTTCCTTTAGCTAGTAAAAAAACAGCCTATGTATATATTCATATGCCAAAACTTTAAATTTCCAGATAACAATGTTGATGAATAATTCATATGGAATAAAGCATTTCTAATCTGACCTCAGCTTCACAGAGACACATGCAAAAATTATTAGATTTAAGGTAGCATTAAAAAATTCTGAGGTTATTGGAAGAAAAGTACACAAAGCCCAAAAGACAAAGCAATGTTTCCATGCATTAAGGTCTTCCCAATCACTGCTTGCTTTCCAACATACAGAGTGAGTAATTAAAGTAAAAAACCACTGCATTTGATATAGGTATCTTACTTACAAATTGAAATTATAACTAACCCGTAAACTTAAAAAAAAAGGAAAAGATATTCAAATATTTGAAACATTTTCAATTTAAAAAAAAAACCAACACATTTGCAAGAGTTTAAGATACTGACATCAGAAAATGTTATTTAAAGAAAAAAATCATGTCAGTATCCCTTTGCAGACTAACAAAGAAACAATTGTCTTCATAACACGCAAGAAAAACCATGTATGATAGTTAAAAGTTGTGTCCAACCAGATTCCATCCTACTTTGCTCTTCCTGGAAGTTTTGAGATTCCTCTAGATTTTCTACCTTACATTAACGAATGCCAGCAGAAAAGTGAATGGCACTGTAAGGTAATACCCAAATGCTGACATTTTCTACCACCTCAAAAATCATGAAAAGCTTGAACATTAATGAGTTTAAAGGTCACTTTTTTCAATCATTTTGTTATGCTCAGTAGTGCAGATGGATAGGAACACTTGCTTTTGTTTAAACATCTACCTGACTGCAGATTTACTGCCTTGTTAAGGCATTATTAAAAGACATGCAGATTTAAGTGAAAATTGAAAACAATTTCAAAGTGTATCTTCGTATCTATTAAAATGGACTGAGAAATAAAATAGACTGAGACAACAGCTTCAGAATCACCCACAAACACAGACAATGCATTCTGCATATGAAACATTAAATAACAAAAATAACTAAAAAATAACAAACTTTAATTTTGTATTTAAAATGTGTAACAAAGACAAAAATCTTCCCTTACTATTGGAAAACTAGATTTGATTCACATAAACACAGACACAGGGAAGCACAAGGGGATATTATTTATCCTAGCATAATATCTTACATTATTTTTCAAGCAGAATCTGTATTTCTGATGTGTTCTTCCTAATTATAGCAACTATTCTATTCTGTACCTTAGAGATCACATCCTGCATCTCATTTCTGGGGTAGTATGTTCCATCATCGTATCGGAATCTGTACAGCATGTGTTCAGGTTTGAATTGGTGCTTATCTGTAACTAAATTAAAAAAATAATCATGTATTGTTAGGCGACTTTCTAAAGAAATCAACAAGAGAGAAGAGGGCTAACGTCATTTCTTTTAATAACAGCATATTACACAGCAATAGGTAGATTTCAGACAGGGAGGGCAGGAAGCCCTATTAGATCATGTGCCCTAAGTTCCTGTATGTCACTGGTGACAATATTTCTCACAACGCTTAAGTGGCCCACAAGAAACCACACAATTTTCAAGCCACAGGTCATAGAATAAGACAGACAGGGAACAGCCTGAAAACTTAGGCATTTCAGTCTGTTCAGCACTTTTCAAAGCTCATTGACCAAATGGCCAAATAAAGCTTCTTTTGCAACTACTCATATTATTCATGTCCTGCTGAGGCCAACGTCAGGTGAGTCAATAAAGATACAAGCACTCTTCAACATCTGGCCAGACTTGCACTGGGGAGGAAAGGGATAGGGAATGTCTTCCTCTATACACTCACTGCCAGCTGAACCTCTTCAGTGCAAGAGACCTGCAGTCATTACGAAGCTGTTGATAACCAATTCCTCTAAAGACCCATGAAAAAGGATCTTAGTAAGTGATCTTCACATGATTCCAGCAAGAAACCGCAGTTTCAAGTGTTTTGTCAAAACAGTCATATCATGTGATTTCTAAAAAACAGCTGATTTATTTGATGGCTGAAGACAGCACTAGGCACTAGCACCATCCTCGAATAACTGTCTGCTATTAATTAATGTTTTGCTTGCAGATGTAAGGTTTAATTTTGAAACCAAATTTGCATGTCATCAATTGATAAAGGAGGCTATTGTAATGTCTTCATTAATCAGAGTAACAGACCTGACAGCATTAGGTAATTCTTCTGCACATGCCTTCCTATATCAAGTGATTAAACCATCATCCATTATTCTCTTCAAAAAAATTTAGTTAGGCACCATAAACTCCATATAGTAAGGTGGCTTCTGTCTGCACCATTTTTCATGTGCCTTCACGCTCTTCAGTACCTCCACACATCATCTGATACATGGACATAAAAACTTGACTTCTTGTATTAAGTGCTTTCACCAGTGTCGAGCAAGAGCAAAATAACTTCTCTACCTGTTTTTGAAATACCTAACAGTAAAGCCCGGGACACTATTCCAATTGCCTTGAACTGATGGTTCACACTGAGCTGATCACCCGAAATAACACTTAAGCTCCTTTACGTGTATCATTGTTTCTCAATACATCAAGTATCAGCTACAAAATTTTCACATACAATGCTTAGCATAAGAATTTAAATTTAATGGATTGTGACCTTCTAGTTCTGTAAGTGAAAATCATTTCCTACTGTATCAGAAAAAAAACCAAAATATATTCCACTAGATCAACATACATTAAGAGCTTTTAAGACCAGCATCTACACAGAAAAGAAAAACCACCACCAGGGCAATACTGCTTAAGCGCAAGTTGTTCCTCGTTGTTACGGGGATGCTCAGGGAGGGAAGCATGAACACAAAGCACCTTTCCAACCCTGCATGCCCATGATGTACACAGCAGGCTCTGCCCTCTGAGGAACATAAGCACTGCCCTGTCTTTGCAGCCCCTACTTACGCACCGTGCACCAGAAACTAGGGGAGCAGGTCCACAGAGGTGGCACATCCTGAGCTCTGGAAAGCAGGGAAGCCAAACAAGGATGCTACCACTTACAGTATTGTGTAAAATACCACATATATCCAGGGAATGCTGTGCGGGAAGCTGTAAATCACTATTTCGGTTTCTGTGGGGTTTGTTTTCTATGATATAGAAGTGATTTGGCTTGTTCTGCTCAAGAGGAAGGATGAATGATCTATCAGCTACTACACTGACATGGAAACCTTAAAAAAAAATATGAAAACATTACACTTACTGTATAGCTTTCCTTTTAACTAGTACCAGCTATGCAAGGACATAGTTTCAAACACTTAAAGCTGATAAAATGCATCATAGAATCACAGGATGGTTTGGGTTGGAAGGGACCTTAAAGACCATCTAGTTCCAACCCCCCTGCCATGGGCAGGGACACCTTCCACTAGACCAGGTTGCTCAAAGCCTCATCCAGCCCAGCCTGGAACATGTCCAGGGAGGGGGCATCCACAGATTCTTGATTTGATTGATCCACAATCATTACCACTAAACAATACCTCACTATGCCATTGACTGATACAATTAAAAGTAATTTCAAGTATTAGAGAATGCCAACAGGAAGATTCAGAAGAGAAACATATGAACAGAAAATGCAAAACTGGGGGGGGAAGTTAAAAAAAAAAAAAAAGGAAAAAAACCCATAAATTTTCTGCTTTCAAGAGTTCACACAACAGGAAGTAAAACAATGCCCACCACAACATGGGTCTGGCATTGCTAGGATGAAGCCCAGCACAGTGAAAACAATGGCCAGCACAGTGAATGTGCGAAGTCTAACAAAGCCCTCTATAACGTTTGCAACGTGAGTAACAGCCAAACTTTCTCTCTGCCTTGCTCCCTCTGTGAAAACAGATGGTTCATTCAACTTTATTTTAAGGATTCTATTTTCACTGAACCACAGCTGGATCCACTATTCAAAGCAGCATGTCTGGCTCACATTTCTATGCTCTAATATAATTACCCTTTTATCTCATGAAATTACACAATATTCATTTAACTCTGTATTGAGAAAGTCTATGAATGTATTTGGGATATAAATTACAAAGATCAGGAAAAGAATCTTTAGCAACAGAATCATTCAATTGAAAACAATTCTGGGTGTGTAGTAAACATAATAGCATCTGACATTTGAATGCTGGTGGAAGAAAATCATGTAGACTGACGTTAAAGAATTAAAGACTACATAACGACTGATGAATAACCTCAATGTTTTTACTCCAACTCTGTGTATGTTTAAAATGCACACAGCTAAGTGGCACTGTTACTCCCGCTTTCCTTCCAGTCAAGGACACCGAAAACATCGTGGCAAACAACTTATCAAGTATGTATTAAATGCATTGCTGGATGAAGCATGTAAGTATTAAAATGTGTATTATCAATGATTTTACACCCTGGATCTATGCTGGAACAGTAGTCAGCTTCACAACTGTTTTGCTACTTGTGGTTTTTTAAGTGACTGTACCTATTGTAAGCCAAACAAAACCTATTGTAAGCCTTCAAAAACAGAAGTTTATCCAGTTTGCTTCTATGGTCCTGTTGGACTATACCTTGTAAAAGGAACAGAAATGAGGACCTGCTCTGGTAAGAGAAAAATGTTGCAAATGCAAAGTACCTCCAGAAATCAAATCTTCTTACTGGCTCAAAAACTCAACCATTTCAGTGATACTTCTCTCCAGAATGAGCTAAACAGAGTTAACTGACTGAAAGTTTCAGCATAAAAATACCTATTTTAGTAACTATACAATGTTGTGAAAGTAAGGTCTTAAAATTCAAAAGATTAAGCTGTTGGGTTCTAGATCCAATTCCACCAGCTCCACTTGGAATACCTAACAGATGAGCAGGCACATTTATCAACAGCCACTGTGACCTCCTCTCTTCTACAATTCTTAGTTGAACATGTATCCCTACAAAGCCTGGCCTCAAAGAAGGTTTAAATCCTTAAAAGCAGTCTAGCCTTCTCTGTTCCCCCCGTATTTATTTTTGCTTACAAGAGAATAGCAATGTTTCTCTAGGTCCCTGTTTGCAATGCTGTGATCCCAACAGCACAGATATAACCCAACTAAATCAATGGAGCCTCTCCCAGTAAATCCCCTAGGCATGGACAATGGCCCCACGAGGTCCCTGCAAGGATATAACACAGATTCAACAACTGTCTCTTGCGTTAACAAGATCATCTTTTTGTCAAACAAAATTAAGTCCACTCTAATTACAACAATTAGAGTAAAAAACAAGTAAGTTAAAACTAATTGTATTTACCATGATGGATAATGCCATTCTCTAATAAAGCTTGGCCAAGATGAACACCTTCTTCAGATTTGTGTATCTCTCCAATTTCCAACAACCAGGACACAAATTCACTGAATTAAAAACAGATGCAAAAACCAAACTTTAAATGTCATTCCATCACATCTAGTACATTTTCTTCTCAGTTACTTGTGTTTACTAGCCTAGTAAGTAATTCTTAAGCCTAATGATAAAGGCTTAAACTACACCAACATACTCGGCATGTACACAAAGTGCATGGTGCATGTGTAGGAAATACCCAGCTTATTCCACAATAAACCTGATGCAATTCAGAGACATTGAATTTATGGCACGTAAGATGTTTGCGTGTGTGCTACAAATCAAAAGAACAGTGTAGTGAGGTAGTGCAACATGCACATTCATGAGTTTTAATCCGTGACCCAGGGCCTAGCAAAAGGGTGCTGCAAAAGGGTCCGCTTCAACGACAGCACAGAAAAGCAGACATTTGACGGTAGGTTTAAACGTTTCACACATAGCTCAGCATAAGCCTGTTCTTTACCTGCTTCCAACAATTTCACTGAGGGTTTAGATTCTCACCAGCTCATGAAAATCTCCCAAGATTCATTTCCAGTTTTGAACCCAGCAGTGAGTATCGCCACCATGATGTGTTTGCGTAAATCAGTCACTGTACTTCCTAAAAATACTTTCCAGAGTTAACTGCCTTAGGGGAAAATTAAATAAGTGGTAACGCCTCCATCCCTTAAACTGATTTTTTTAGTAATACACACATTTTTTACAGTAGCTATTGCTTTCTCCTCCTCTTGCGTTTAGCCTTCTTAAGCCAACGGTATAATATGACATTCTAAAGATTCTTCTGACAATAGGGGTGGATTTTTAAACATGTTTTAAAACTCCATTTTGTAACTCTGTACCCAACACTCAGGCAAGAGAAAGAAACTGGTTTAGAGACAGATTTTTTTAAGTGGAATAAAGCAAATTCAATATTCTAAACTAGGCATTTCAGAGACAAAATGCATTAAGCACATTGGGAATCATTTCTTTAAAGAAAATATTTTAATGCATTTTCATATTTTCAACATGCCTTTGCAGCCTTGTCCCTTTAAAAAGCTCCTTTTGAATGTGACTACACATCCATAAATTTCAGGCAGATCGATTTCCATTTTGGCTAAAATCTAGGAGGCAAATAGGCCTAACAGACATTACAAATAAAGTGTGGTTTCCGCAGAATCCCAAAGAAGATTTAAAATGTGGTTTTAGTTGGTTAAAAATCATGCTATAAAATGCATATAATACCTTCCAAGAAAGCATTTGGGGAAAGTGGTTAATTTCCTCTTCCTGTCTTTGATGAGATTCCCTTGTTTGCACATCATTTTGTACAGTCTTTCTCCTTGCTCAGAAATCATCACCCAAGTGTCCTGTTCCATGCCCAACTTTAAACCTGCCAAAAATGCATTAAAATTTTATAAAGTGATATTGCCATTATATTTCACTATCTTCCCCAAAACAGAGAAGCAATACCAATATTTTACATACAAAAATAGCAAAAGAATAGTTTTCCATTATCTTTCTCAGAATCGAGATTCATCTATGAACATCCCATATTCATAAAGCATAATCACCTCCATCGACATCACCACTGATACTGTAGGAATAAACACTAACGCCATGATTTTCACACTTCAGTATATGAACATTTGCAAGGGAGTTGCCATGTCTTCACAAGTTTAAAAGAAAAGGATCTTGGTTTTGCTTTTACCATGTGATAATAAAAATGTTTTCACTTAAACGATTTTTTTTTCAAATTTCCAATTAACAGTAACTAGTTATCTGTTATACAGTAACTAGTTTCACATAAGATTAACTTCAAAAAAGCATGTACACAACTTGATTTTTATTTGCTTCAGAATTTTTTCCAAAACAGAAAGCTATCAAGGGGTTTATTTCAATATTTCTTAGCGATTTTTTTTCCTGTCTCTTTTCTAAACAAAATCATTATATTTTCTGAGTAACAGATGGCTGATTCAGTTTTTGTTGAATTATGTATCTTACTGGCCATTCAGAGAGCTTGTGCTTCCAAGGAACACCACAGTCCTTCATATCTCATGTGCTTTCTCAATAAACAATTATTAGTTCTGGACAAACCCACGCATTTCTGGGCTATCTTATGTACATGTTCTCAGCTTCTGTTCAGATTTTCACTTTTTAAAAGCTATAGCTGTACATATTCAACCTGAGTAACAGGTTTAATTCTTTAATTCTGAAAAAACAGCTAGAAGAAAAATTAATCAGGACATCACAGCATTATCAGTCTCAGATGATCCCGTTTTTAAATACATTTCTAAGTTGCTGAATGCTTCAGATAGTCATGTGAAAGCCCCACAAGTGGAAGAAAGACTTCCTAGCAAAAAGTTTCCAATTCAGCTTGCTTTCTCCTAGAAAAAAAATATAAAGTGGTCCTAGTTGATAATTCATTTATAACCGCTGAAGGCTCTGCTGAAGTACTTCATCCAGTGTATTTTCTCCCTTTTGCTCAGCTTCTGTTGTACGGATTCCAAATAACAGTATAGGTTGCGTTTCCCCAAGCACCTTGAATCTCTGAGCCTCCCAACAGGAACAGCCCAGCCCTAGCCACATGGCACACTCCAACTGTATTCCTGTGCCTCACTACTGCTCCACGTGCTGTATTTACCAAGTCTGAAGATCACTGCAGCCTGCCATTCTGCGTGAGATGAGAGGTCTACAGCACCACTACGAAGAAATGCACGGGCATACACAGCACAACTTCACTGCTGTGAAGGGAGGGAGTCACTCACATGAGCCTGACGCCTCGTCCAAGAGATCTAGGGAATGTATTACCCTGATTTAGTTCATCTCAGACTTGCAAAGGAGATAAAACCCTGTTGTCACATGTGCAGTCATAGACTTCAGTGTAATTGCCTATGTAATACACACATGAACAGACTTCGTGTCTTACTAAGTAAACATACAATTAAAGCATCTTCATGTTCACAGTGAATGGAAAAACATTACAGCTACATTTAGATACAGTATTTAAAGTCTGAAACGATATCTGTTTGGTTCCTGACTCATTTGGCAACTTGACTGCAATTAAGTTGATGCCTCCTGCTTTGCAAGAGGTGTTTATACAGATATTTGAAAAAAATCACTGTGATGGAGGAGATGGATAAATTTGTAAGTTGACAGAGCAACAGAGATATCCAAGAAATACTTCTAAAGATTCTGTACTGCAAACTGACTCCAAGCACGTACCAAATCCTCTCCTCTTTCTTTCATGGTCATCTTGTTGGTGGCAAACCCACTGAGGACAAGAGGAGCTGAAAATTTCCCTAAATCAGGATGCTAAAATCCTAAGGCATGTCTTGACTTTGGGATGGTTACCTCAGACCTCACACTTGGCAAGCTCAAACTCACCTCTCCTACCAGGTGCTCAATAGTATAGTGTGACATAACATGAATGCATCAACATAAAATACTCCTACTTAGTCTTTCTATTTCTCACCTAAAGGTGTCAAGAGTCTAAGGGAGCCAAGAAACTTAACAGTGAAGTGGGATTTGCTAAAAGCCTTTTTAGCCAGATCCAGTCCAGGCCCTGCACAGAAGCAGTCAAACCTGGGTTTTGTTGTACTTGACACCATCTCTACCACTTTGCTTTCTCATTTGTTATTTTAAAAATGCTGAGGTTTTAAGACCTCTAAGACATCTTTTTTAGCTTTTCTACTATTAATTGCTAATTACTATTAAATAGCCAGTGCTCACACATCCTAGTTGAAACTCTGATCCTACAGCAGATGTTCTACAAACATCCAGTATTCAACTTTAAAAGTCCAAAGAAAGTATTTTCAGCCTCCATGTAACACAGAGGCACAAAACAACAGCTACTGCAACAGGCAATAAAGTCTACACAAACCAAGAAAACAATCCCAGATCTAACTACAAGGTCATATTTTCTTTCAATACCAAGGCTCCAAACATCATTACTGATTAGGATATTTGAGCTTGCAAATGAAATTAGCTCCAGAAGATGATGATGCGTCATCTTTCCCCGGTTCTACTTTGTTCACCTTGAATATATGAGGTTATTCATGCTCACATTTGAGATCAGGATTACATTTCATCCAAGTATTCTTCCACTTTTAATTCAGTTATTCAGAAAAAAAGTAGTTTGCCGATGGCTATTTCTTAGTTCCTTGGGTAGGAGAGAATACACCAAAGATAGGGTTGTAGGTATATTCTGTTGGGATCCTCCACATGTGTGCTGGATTCAGCCAGG